AGGGTTTCGACTTGCGCCCGCGGAGACTTGCGCGTGTGACCCGCAGTGCCCCATTGGACAGACGTGCCGAGCGCCCTGGGGTCTCCGTATGACTTCAGCGAGGGTGCGCGAAGAACCCCACACCACTTGACGTTTGCACCTTGCAGTGTCCGACGTCTCGTGCACTGTGCCTTCGCCAGTGCTCAATCGCAATTCGCACTTCCATCTGCTGCCTTTGCTTGAGGACCCTCTGCACCGCCGACGTACAAACATGGCCGGCGTTGTCCCAGTTGACAGACTTGCCGAACGCCCTAAGGTCTTCGTATGATTTCAGTGAGGGTGTGCGCAGAAACCGTGCATTTTTGTTTGGGATCTGTAAGGGTGGTTAACATTCGTACATTTATGATTTGAGCAGCTACGTTGTCCATGTGTGGGCCAAGTGCTGCATGTCGAAAACTTCAACATGCGCGCGCGGGGGCGCACGTACGAACCATGTGGCCTGCATCGTGTCAGCTGCCCAGATTTTCTACAGAAAGTTCGATTCACTTCAACGCACGTGCACCGCGTAGTGCTATTTGACAGGGATGCCGGGGTGGGGGAGTCGATACCAGTTGGCCAGGGATAGTGTCATTTGATACGTGGGATCAACGGTCATCTAGTAAATATGACACACCATACCTTGGGGGAGTACGCGAACCCCGTCCTCGGTTGGGGGTGCGGTGTTGGAGAGGTCGGTTTATTTTGGGAAAATCAGGTGGGGTGCCATCCATGCGGTGCAATGCGTTCGTCGCAGTTAAGTAAGCGTAAAAGTGTAAATAGAGATCGTCAACCCCAGAGCGCGCGCAACTATTCCACCCTCCCGCCCGCAACTTGATCGGCTAGACCCATTCAGCCACGATTGCGGGTCCCGGGTGGACAATTGTTAGCGCGTCTCTACGGCTGCGCTGGCGCGCCCACGCGCACGGGCAGAGCGACCAGCTGGTTTTTCGCAACCAACGCGGCTGCGATGGCGCTTGCCGATGGGAGCTTCCCAGCGCCTCTCAAAAGGCAACAGGGGCGCGCGGGCATTTGAATGCGGGTCGGTGAGTCGGGCGGGCGCGATGTAATGATGATGTCGGCAACGGCGGCAACAATGATGATGGTCTAGTATAGATGCTGGTGGCGATGCCGACAATGACGACGGAGTGGCCAATGGCGGTGCCGATGCCAGTGACGACGATAAAAAGGGTATTATGATGATTGTGATGATGACGGTGGTGATGGTGATGGTGATATTGACGATGATGGTGCTGTTCAGGTGTCTCTGGTGAACGTGAGGTGGTGAACGTGATTCTGATGATGCTGGTGGCAATGCCAGCGGTTGACAGTAACGATAAGGGAGGCGATGCGACGGCGCTGATGAGGGCGATGGGACGTGCGGGCGTTCAGACCTTGTCAGAAGTCGGGCAGGCTTTTGTTGTCAAACATTTGGTCTTTCATGTGTTTTCCGATCGCTCAATCCTGCCATGTCTCGAGCATTAATGGTTTTGGATGGATTTCGACGCATGCGTGGCTGCGCGCGCATGTGGCCCGCATGGTTATCTTTGATAGTTGTTCGTGCAATTGGCGCGTGCTATATCAACGCGGATGCACCGCGTGGTGTGATGCTAACGCACTATTGGGTGAGATTGCTAAGGTCATCTGGTTTCAGCTGGTTTCAGTAAGTGCGTACGGGCAGGACTGCTACAGCATGTGTTTCGAAAAACCATTAGTGTTTGGCGTTTTGTGTGTTGATGTGCCTGCATAAGTATCGTATTTCGTATGGTCTCGGCATTTGCGTGCGCGTGTGGGCTTTGCTGCACCTTTCGCACGGGATTCTTTACAAACGGTCTTTTCTGGGATGATAGGGGTGAGCGATACCAGGTGGCCTGGGATGGCATGGGCTCATATCGAGCACGAGCGATGAGGCTGACCCATACGATAATTGCAATACCCCAGAAGGGTGGGGGATGCGTCGGGCATCGGGATGCTGATCGAGTCTGTTCGTTCCCGGAAAGTGGTGCAGCATGTGTGGCGCAACCCATGTGGAACAGTCTATGTTGTGCAGCTAATCACTTGCTCAACTTGAAGCTGTCCTCTCCACTGCTCGTGCAAACATCCCACCCTCCCACCCGCAACTTGGTCGCAAGACCTTTTCAGACAAGACCGTGACGGTGGGTACCAGATGGCACTTGGCCACGACACCGACGCCGACGACGACAGCGACGACGACGATGACGGCGCCGCCGACACCGACGACGACGACACCGACGACGTCTCCAACGATTTCGACGACGACAGCGACCAAGATGACGACGACACCGACGACGACGACGACGCCAACGACGACGACGATGATAACGACGACGACGCCGACGACGACGACGCCGACGACGACGAAGACAACGACGACGACGACGACAACGACGTCGCCAACGAAGACGACGACGAGGGAGGAGGGAGGACGACGACGGCGACAACGACGACAACGACGGCAACGACGACAACGACGACGGAGGAGGGAGGACGGCGTCGACGCGAACGGCGAAGAAGGAGGAAGGACGGCGACGCCGACAACGACAACGACGAGGGAGGAAGGAAGACGACGACGACGACAACGACGACGACGACGACGACGACGGCGACGAAATAGGAGGGACGACGACGAGACGCCGACGACGGACGACGACGACGACGAGGGAGGAGGAGAAAGGACGACCACGGCGACAACGACGACGGAAACGACCATTGACCACGACGCCAACGAGGACGACGACGATGACGAACACGAGGAAAGACAGAGGACGACGTGGGCGACGACGACGACGACGCGGGAGGAGGGAGGACGGCGACGACGACGACGACGACGCAAGAGCGCGCGCTTTTGTTGAAAACCCGTATTGCGAAACCTTGTGTTTTTGTATTTATTTTGGACACGATTTTGAAATCTTTCCGAAACCGATGGGTTTTGAAGGATTTCGGCATGCGCGCGCGACGACGCGCGCGTCCGCACTTCGTCCCGTTTTTTGCAGAGGGTTCTCGCGACGGCACACGCGCAAGGGCGTTCGACAGATTTCGACATACGCGCGCCCGAAGCCTGTTTAATAGAATTTTGTGAAAACCTTGAAAAACCTATGGTTTTTATTAAGATTTCGCAAGAGCTCGCGCGGAAGCTTGTTTAGCAAATCAGTGTTGCGAAACCATGTGTTTTTGTATGTTTTTCGGGAACTCGATTGCGAAATCTTTCCGGCACCGAAGGTTTTTGAAGGATTTCGGCATGCGCGCGCGACGACGCGCGCGTGTGTACTTCGCTCCTTTTTTTTCCAAGGGATTCTTGAAAAAGTGTAATGTCAGAACCAACAATGTTACCGCATAGTTTTTTTTACAAGGGAACCTCAGGGGAGGGGAACCCGGTTTGGCTGGGATGGTATGATTTCGTATTGAGGATGGACGAGTGTGCAGAATATATATATATATATATGTATATATATATATATGAAATCATATTATCCCAGGGGGAACCGATAAGTCCGGAGGGGGGGGGGGGTAGAATCTATTGACCTTTTAAAAAGGAGAACCAATGCGGTGAATCATGTGTCGCAACCTACCTAGTGTTGTCTATGTTGAGCAGTGTTTGTGGTGCAGCACGTGGGGTGCAGCCTATGCGACCCAACCTATATGTTGCCATCTACGTGGTGCAGCTCAATATTGGCAGCCGATGGGGGTCAGCCACGTGGAAGTCGTGAGTGCCGCCCTTCGTGCAAGCATCCCGCCCTCCCACCCGCAACTTGTTCGCAGAACTCATTCAGGCCGTGAGTGCAGGTACTCCAGATTTCGTAATAAAGGGAGGGGGGTCTCATTTCGGGGGGGGTCTCTTCCAGGCTATCTTGGAGGGCCTGGGGGGGTCTGGGGACGATGTTTTGGAGGGTTCTCCCACGGGGGGGGGGTCTGAAATGGCTTGTCTTGGAGGGTCCAGGCCCCCTCCCTTTTATTACGAAATCTGGAGTACTCATCGGTGTCTGCTTGCGAGTCTCAAGTGGCGCACTGCTGCGCGGACCCTTCGCCTGCAGATCCATGGTCTGGGCGGGCGTGTGATGATGGTAGCGATTGCATTGGCAACGACGACGACGATCATTCTGATGGTGATGGCGGTGGTGGTGATGACGTGGGCGACAATACCGACGGTTTCGATGATGACGACGGTTGCGATGACGACGGCGACGCTGATGTCGCTGACGATGTCATAGGTGATTCTGGTGATGGCGATGACGATGGTAATTACAGGTGAGTATAATGAGGAAGTGCTCGTGCGCGGAAGCCGTATGTCCTGGCTTACCTTTGATTGAACAGCCGCGGGTTGTTGAATTGCCTGGAACATCTCCGTGTTGAAATGCTCCGGGAGCTACGGATTTTGAAACGATTCCGACATTCGCCCGTGCAGACGCTCGCGTGTGGCCCGCATGGTGTGCTTGACAATCCTGCTGGCTGTTTTTTTATGTCTCTTCCAGAATTCTGCCCTTCGGAGGGCATGCCCGACCTCAGTCTATGTCGCTTTTGTCTCCCGTGTGGGCTGCATATCGGGACCTCGGCGCAGCAGGGGTTCCCCCCGCGTTTTGGGGACAGATCCGTGCTCGCCGGGCCAGGCTCTAGACGCGGGGCCAGGCTGGTTCAGTATAGCAAGTCATGGGAGCCTGGTGTACCCTCTGAAGTCCGTCTTCAGCGTCGACCAGGGCCGATCAGCGTCTGGGAGTCGATGTGATGGCGCCGATTTAGCGTTGGCTAGCGTCGGTTGGTGTCGCTTCAGCGTCGATTTCCCGTCGGTCTAGCGTCGATTGGGGTCGGTTCGCAAGGGCCGACAAGATGGTACGGGAGGCTCCCATGAGCTGCCACCGCAGGCTGGATCGGCGAGCTGCTTCTTAGGTCATAATGGGCTTCACTAGGATGCCCGCCAAGGAGATCTGGCGGCTCCTCGTGGAGCTGAAGGCCGAGTGGCCGCCGAGCACCTACCACAACTTGAGGACGCGAGGGGCAGTGCCACCTCCCGTCCCACGGCCTACCCTCATGAGGCGCTGCCTCTACCCATTGCTCATTTCTAGTTCTTCGGAAGTTCTTTGATTTTTTGGGGGGCTAAGGTCCTTTCATTTCTAATTGCTCTATCATGGGCCTCTTCCTGGCCACTAGTGGGCCAGGAACAATTAGAAACGCGCACACTTAGAAATGAGCACGGGTAGAAATGAAGGACGTTTACAGTCGAAGTCGACTACAGAGATGGGTAATCTTCCCATGCGTCCTTGCCTCTTCGGTCCATCCCTAGCCACCTTCGATGGCCAGCCCCGCTCGCAAAGCTTCGACTTGGGCGTCCAAGGGGCCTGCATCCTCAGCGCGCATCCTTCCTATCAGTTTTGACTGGAAGGTTCATTCGTTCCAGGGCCGCGTCCTGCGGGAGCCTCTGCCGAATGGCTTCGATGAGTCGAGACGTTGACGTCCCGCCCTCGGCGGTGGCTGGCGGAAGTAACACGATGGTGCTGAAGTGCCCAGGGTTTTTGGAGCCAGCTTCTTGGAGGCCTCCAGCTGTGGTCTCAGCGCGCTTTTCCGATCTGACTCCAGGGAGCCCTGCTTCCTGAGTGCATGCGTTTCCCCTCATCCTCGTCCTCGTCCTTCACTCTCTGCCCCTCCCTGTCCTTTTCCCCTTCTCTTTTTTCCTCCTCCCCCTTCTCGTCCTCCTCCTTCTCTCCCCCTCCTCGCCCTCTTCCTCGTTGTGCTCGTCCCACTTCGGCCACCCCCCTTTCTGCTCTGTGGCCTCGTCCCGCGGCTACGTATCCCTCTCCCTCTCCTCTTCCGCATGCTCCTCCTAGCCTTCTTCCTCATCGTCATCGTCTTCGTTCTCCCGCTTCCAGCCAGCGCACCTTGCAGCCAGCAGTTCCTTCGCAGGCACTCAGGGCACGTCTGTCGTTTGTTTCTGGTGCTTGCGGCCGGCGCAAAACTCTCTACGCTAGTCAGGCCACTGAGACAGTAACGATCAGGTCATCGTTCCTAGAGCTATTGGGTTGAATTGAATTGACAGTCGTTCTTTCCCTAATCCTTCTCCCCACTCCCCTCGCGTGCCTCCTCGTATTCTTCCTGATTGCGTACCCTTCTCCTTCAAAAGGAGGCTGCCTGAATTTTTATCGAGTAAGGCCACAGAAGGGATGCTGCGGTACGCGTTTTGAGGGTGCGCGCCTGTTTCGGCCAGATCTGGGGTCCCGTGGGGGTCCGCGGACCCTGTTGTTTTTTCAGCCCTCGCCCCTGCGAGCAGCGCCGACGTCGATAATTAGTGCCCGCGCGCAGATCCACCTCGTCGTCCTCCTCGTCTTCCATGTCTCCTCTCGGCATTTCAGAGCGCGCGGCGAGTGCCCGCACCATCATCCCCTTCTCCCACTTTCCTGCTCCTCCTGCGTCTCTCTTCCGTCGTCGGTGCTCTTCTCCTCCTCCTCCTTCTCCTCCTACTCTTCCTCTTCCGTGGGTTTACACGTGACGCAGCTGTGCGAGCGTGCAGTCGATCAATGGTCGCCCCAGGGAGGAAGCAACTCCTCCTCCGCTTCCTCCTTCTCCTCCTCGTCTGAGGCGTGGGCTCCATTCCTCTACCTTATGATTACTTCTCCCTGTCGCACCCCGGGGCAAGTTTTTAGGGCGGGCTGGGCGTTTCGCTTGAGACTTCCGACTTTTTCTCATCGTTTGTGATCCTGAAGCCTCACACATTACAACAGTTTCACAGATGGAGGGCGGGTCGTTTTCAAGCGGTGGCTCTCGCCTTAGCGCCGCGTGCATTCGTTTAACAAACTCGCAAGAGCTTCACGGATTGATGGCGGTTCGTTTTCAACATGTGGCTCACGCTTAAGCGCCGCGCATATTCGTTTTGTAACAACAAATCATTTTTTTATTATAGAAATATGATATTGATGTGCACGAGTTTCACGGATTGAGGGCGGTTCCTTTTCAACATGTGGCTCTCGCCTTAGCGCCGCGCACATGTTTGGTTTTCTGGTTCAACAACTAAAACAATGCAATACATTCGCGGATTCCCATGGCCAACGTACCAGAAATTGAGTTCTGGTAGGATTCAGCACTATTAGGGTGCAACAGTTATGCTGGCTCGCGGTGTTGAAGTCCCTGGAATGGCGTTCTGACACGATTCAGGATCGACAAGACGCAAGAGTCAGGTTGATCCGTGGCGTTGGAATCCCGAGAATAATGTTTTGGCATGCTTCAGGGTCTTCAAATGGTTGTCTTCCAACGAGGTAGTTCCCTCAGTGGAAATGAACCGTTGTAGGGGCCCATGGCGACGAGGCTTGGAAGGAGGGTTTATTCCAACATCGTTGATGACTCTTGGGTTTACAGTGGTCCTCCTCCTCCTCCTCCTCCTCCTCCTCCTCCTCCTCCTCCCCTCGGCCCCACGCTTGGCTCCTCCTCCTCTCCCCCCCTCTCCCCTCGTCTATCCCCTCCTCGCCCTCGTTTCTCCTGCAGACGCAGGCAGAACTGCTGCCACTTCTGCGACCAGCTCTGCAGAAGCCTGGGCGTGGGCGCGGTGCCGGACTGGGTGGTGAGCCTTGCGAGGACGGGGGAGCTGAACGCTATCAGGGGCAACGTTAGGGGGGGATGGGCTCAGGGTGTGTGTGTGTGTGAGTGTGTGAGTGTGTGTGTGTGTGTGTGTGCAGTTTCGTCCGCTCTCTTCGCTCTCCGCCTTTCCTCCTTGGCGCTCTCCTTCGTCGGTCCACCCTGCTTAGTCGCTCTCACCGCTTTCCCGTCCCCGTTGGCTCATGGCGCCTTCCACCCTCACCGTAGTCTCGTCTGCTCACCGCCCTTTTCTCCCTCCCCACCATACAGGCCTGGATGGTTATGGCTTGCTGCCGGTTGCAGACCCGAAGTGGTCTCTGAGTGCTCGGCCAAGCGTAGACGCACTCGTCACGCTGCTCGCGCTCGACTCTCTACGCCCCGTCGCCGCGCGCAGGGCCGCGACGCCAAAAAAGAGATAGTGCGTGTGTGTGCGTGTGTGTGTGTGTGCCTCGACCCCGAAACGCCCATGCGTTGCCGACGGGTGCCCGACAGCCCCAACCTGTTGGGGACTCGGCGGATTCGCTATCGAGCCCCCGATGGCACTGGCGATGTACCAGCGATGTCTCGCGACGTGTCGCGCGATCCACCGGCGATGTATCGCCGATGTCAGGTCGGCGCTCCCCCCCGGGAGCCGGTCCCTCCCTGGCCTTCCCCATGGATATATAGCCTCGGATCTTGTTGTGGCCCCGGAGTTTGGACCTGCCCCCAGGAGCCTCGAGCCTTTGCCCATCGGTCCTCGATGCCTTCACTCTGCTGCTGTCCGCAGACGTCCGACGAAGTGTTTTGTTCTGTCTGCCGCCCGCGGTCCCGGGGGCAGTTTTCTGCACGACCCATTTCTGGTGGACCTGGGGCCCGAGGAGGGCCCCCGGAGCCCGAGCTGTTCGACAAGCGCGTTGGGCTGGGCTTGGTTTCCCCGGAGATGGGGAGAGATGGGGAGAGGGAGAGGGCGCGGAGGGAGAGAGGGGAGGCAGTACAAGGAGGAGGGAGGAGAGGAAGAGGTGGGAGGAGGAAAGGCACAGCCCACACGGCCTCGATCATCGATCCTTGATCCCTGACCCGTGGCCGCGGCAATTCGCGTGAGCAGCGAGGTCGGCAGGTCTTCCAGAATTGCTGCCTGCGTGTGTGTTGTCGTTCCTCCTAGGGAAATCTTCGATCCTGGATCGCCGTCGTCCAGTCCTCCCGAACAAACACAGATGCGCAGACACCCTCCAAGGTATTGCTCCTTGGCCTTAGGGGAGGGTGGCGGTGTATAAATAACCGTTGAGAGCCAGCGACCTTCTACACCGTCACTCTCCCTGAAGGTGCATGCAAAGTTCGTCGGAGGGTGCCTGTGTGTATTTTCGTAGCGTAAGTTTTCAGATCATAGCTGACGATATGGGCCCCTCGGAACGCTCTCGACGAGGGGCAGCGGATGGAAAAGCATTCAATGCGTCGAGAGTTTTTGAAAACTAGCGAAACGTGTCAGAACATGTAGAACACATCCGACAACTTCCAGTATCGGGAAGGCCTTACGGCCTGTGCCACCAACCCTGAAGGTGGACGACGACGACTGAGACGACGGAGACGACGACGACGAGGACGAGTACAACGACGATGGCGACGACGACGACGACAACGACGACACGCGGCGGCGGTGGCGGCCTCGGCGTCAGCGGCGACGCTGCTGTGGTCAGAGTGAGTCCTCAGGGGTGCTTCGTGGGGCTTCCTGGGGACCTCCTGGGGCCCTTTGCGGCCTCGTGGGGGCCTCTTTGAGGCCTCTCCTAGGATTTTTTTTTGAGTTCGTTTATCTTTCGCCCTGCCCAAGGAGGACCAACGACCTGGGCCCCTTGGGCGCGGCCTTTTCCAGCGGCCTCTCGTCCGGAGGGTGCCAGAGCGGCTCCAGCGCGGCGGGTGGCGGCGGCAAGGCGGCTTGCGGCGAGGAAGCGGGGGTCTGTTCGGTTGCGAATCTCAGCCGCGCGCAGAGGGGGGTTGGGGGGAGGGGGGAGGGCTTCTTAGTAGCACCCCTGCTTCTTAGCAGGCGCGGGTCGTATCTATAGATGTAAGGACGGCGCCTTCTAAGACGCAGCCTCCTTCTATGAAACCCTCCCGCCTCCCTCCACCCCCGTGCGCGCGCCGCCAATAATCACGGGAGTCTTGTTCCCTACCTAGGCTCTGCCTAGAAGGGTTCTTACTCTCTGTGCTTAAAGGGGCCGGGCAGTTGGAACCGGCCCGGGCGGTTCCCCCAGGATCCGCCCCGCGGTTCCCCCAGTTACGTCCCCTTAGCTTAGCGTTGCTTATCCCATCATAGCTTTGCGTATTTCATCTTAGCTTTGCTTAGCTTCATCTTATCACTGCATAGCATAGCATAGCATAGCATAGCGCAGCATAGCATAACATCACATATCATTTAATATCATAACATATCATACCATAACATGCCATAGCGCAGCATGTCATAGCATATCATAACATATCATAACATAGCTTAGCATAGCACAGCGCAGCTGACATGGCATAGCTTAGCATAACATAACATAGCATATCATAGCATAGCGAAGCATCGCATATCATATCATATCATAGCGTAGCATAGCATAGCGCAGCATAGCATGGCATAGCATAGCATAGCGACTAATGCTGCTTTCCTAGGGGCTCCAACTTCTAGGTTGGGTCGCACTGGGGTAATATACCTTTTTGATTATGTCTTTAGCGTCGAGTAGCGCCGAGTAGCGTCTGGTGATCGAGGAAACAGCGCCGATTCTGCGTCGATTAGAATCGATTTGGCGTCGATCGCCGTCGATTAGCGTCGATGATAGCGTCGGCCCACGAGATGGTATGGGAGGCTCCCATGAGTTGCCACCGAAGGTCTGCCTGACTCGAACGGGGAAGTTTCGGGTTCAAGGTTCGAGGTTTTCGGGAGTTTTCATCGATTCTCGCGGGTTTTCCAGCCTCGGGGTGCTCTCCATCAGCTGCGCCTCGCCCGGGGCGTTCTGGGGGTACCAGGATCATCCCGAACGGCCGCCGAAGAGCCGAGTCACGGCCCGAAAGCCAGGGGGTGACCGTGGGGATCTGCTATCGGGGGCCTACCGCCGATCTACTATCGGCGACTCACAGCCCGGGAGGAGGGGGGAGGGAGGAGGGAGGAGGGAGGAGGGAGGGGGGAGGAGGGAGGGGGGAGGGGCAAGCTAGGTGCGCTCGCGTCATATTTGACATCCTACCCCTCCCTCCCATCCCTTACCATGGCGCAGATCCCCTCTCTACTCGCACAGTCGGATGTCGAGCAGGGCAATGATCCCGAAAGGGTACGCGATGCATTGTAGAGCACGGCATGGCATGGCGTAGAAGAGCACCGCGAAGCGTAGTATCAACCTAGCATTGCATTGCATGCCGTGGCATGGCACGGGAAATGACGCCAGCGCTGCAGCGGGAGCACGAGTCGAAACGAGCGGAAGCGCGGAAATGAGGCCAGCGCTGCAGCGGGAGCACGATTCGGAACGAGCGGAAGCACGCCAGAATCGGCCCGGGAGGCGCCAGAAGCAGAAATTCAGCATTTTCAAAAGAAAAGTGTGTATTGGAATGGCCTTTTTTCGGCGCCGCCTCGGAACTCGATTTTCCGGCGGCGGCCGGAACCGGCTCCAGACCCGGCCCGGGCGCCGAGCCGGGCGCCGGCTCGGGCGCGTCCGGCCCGGGCGCCGGCTCGGGCGCCGGCCCGGGCGTCGGAATCGGCCCGGGAGGCCTCCCGGGCGCCGGGAGCAGAAATTCAGCATTTTCAAAAGAAAAGTGTATATTAGAATGGATTTTTTTCGGCGCCGCGGAACTCGATTTTCCGGCGGCAGCCGGAACCGGCTCCAGACCCGGCCCGAGCGCCGGCCCGGGCGCCGGCTCGGGCGTGCAGCCCGGGCGCCGGCGGAAATGATGCCAGCGCTGCAGCGGGAGCACGATTCGGAACGAGCGGGGCCCGAAAATGAGGCCGGCGCCTCAGCGAGAGCAGCATTTTGGAACAAAAATGCAGGCGAAAACCCAACTCCAGGGAAACCTGTGTGTAAAAAACAATACGCGGGGGGGTAGAATACTCCCAAGCCGTCATCAGGGGAAGAGGGAGAGTAGTATTCATATTGAGTAGTTGTGGAGGGGGGGGGAGGAGGGAGGAGGGAGGAGGTCCACCCCTATCGTTTTCGTTCCCCCTCGGGAGCAGAGGCCTACCGGGCCCTCGAGGATCCCAGGCGTCCGCAGGGCGGGGGGCTTCGTGGAGCCCCCACGCCGCCAGGCCGATCCGCAGTCCCGCCAGCGGGCCTGCCTGCCCGGCCTTCTCGAGAGGCCGCTGCGGCCGCGGGGTTTGGTCCACGGGCCGTCCTCGCAGAGCGGCGCGTGGGCCAACGGGGGGCTCTACGCCTCCGCAGCCACGCGCAGAGGGGGGGGGGTAACAACAAGGGGGGGGAGGGCTTCCTGGAAGCACCCCTGCTTCTCAGAGGGCGCGGGCCTTTTTTTTTTTTTCCTCTCTCTCTCTCTCTCTTCTCTCTTTCTCTTTCTTATATAGATAGATGTATACGTATATATATATATATAAATAAAATATTATCATACGCACCTTTCCGAGGGAGTAGAGCTCAGAGCCGATTAATTGAAGGCGGCGTTCGCGGTTTTTCTGGCCGTTTCGCTAGGGGCATCCTCGAAATTCTGAAAATCGGTGGCACCCCTCACTCAGATCGTGACGTCAGGGTCCAAAAACAAATGGGAATTTCAACATTCTTCTGGTACCCCAGACCCCGCCTCGGAGCCTCCTGGGGGTCTCCTGGAACCTCCTGGGGCCTCCTGCGGCCTCCTGGAGCCTCTTGGGGCCTCCTGGAGCCTCCTGGGGTCTTCTGGGGCCTCTGAGGCCGCCTGGGGCCTCCTGGGGCCTCCTGGGGCCTCAGAACTACATGCACACACAGAGACACAAATTACACCCAACACATCACACGCTAGACACACATAACACACAATAACAACGCACAGAAAACACGCACAACACAGAGCACACATCACACACAACACTCACAATCCCGGGGCCTCCTGGAGCCTCTTCCGGTATCCAAGTCGGGCCTCCTGAGGTTTCCTGGGGGGCCCTGGTACACACATCGCAAGGTGTGGCAACCCCACTTGCGCTCGAGTGCGACCTCGATCTTAGATTCTTCTGCGTTCACCTCCTGCCTCTTCCTCTTCTCTTAGGCACGCCCTGGCGGCGCCGCCCCAGCTTCCCCTTCTCTATCTCCGATCCTGCAGTCATGGTGTCTTCCTGCTTCAAACGCCCTTTCAGTTTTTTTTGTATGAGCCTGGGCTCACGGCACACACGTGCCACTTGTATATATTGAAGAGGAACAGATGCCATAAGCAGAATTCTTTACGCTTCGCGTATCCCCACCAGCCCATCTCACAACAGCAACTCTTGCGAAGCATGCCGACAGTCGTGTTTTTCAGGCGTGTGTCCGCTTGCCCCCGCATATCTCCCCTGTTCCTCCTTCCTCCCGCCTCCTTGTACATCCTCCTTGTGGGGGGAGCGGGAGAAGGACGAGGCGGAGGAGGAGGGAGAGAAAGCGCTCCTCCTGATTTGAGTCGTTTGGGGTTTCTCGTCCTGGTGTGAGTCGTTCGGGCCCTTCTTCCTGGTGTGAGTCGTTCGGGCTCTTCGTGGTGTGAGTCGTTCGGGCTCTTCGTCCTGGTGTGAGTCGTTCGGGCTTCTCGTGGTGTGAGTTGTTCGGGCCCCTCATCCTGGTGTGAGTCGTTCGGGCCCCTCCTCCTGGTGTGACTCGTTCGGGCTCCTCGTGGTGTGAGTCGAGTTCGGGCTCCTCGTGGTGTGAGTCGTTCGCGTCGTGGTGTGAGTCGTTCGGGCTCCTCGTGGTGTGAGTCGTTCGGGCGCCTCGTCCTGGTGTGAGTCGTTCGGGCCCCTCCTTGTGGTGTGAGTCGTTCGGGCTCTTCGTGGTGTGAGTCGTTCGGGCCCCTCGTCCTGGTGTGAGTCGTTCGGGCTCCTCGTGGGGCCTCTTGGGGGCCTCTTGGAGCCTCTTGGGGCCTCTTGGGGGCCTCTTGGGGGCCTCTTGGGGGCCTCTTGGGGGCCTCTTGGGGCCTCCTCTTGGGGCCTCTTGGGGGCCTCTTGGGGGCCTCTTGGGGGCCTCTTGGGGCCTCTTGGGGGCCTCTTGGGGGCCTCTTGGGGGCCTCTTGGGGCCTCCTGGGGGCCTCTTGGGGGCCTCTTGGAGGCCTCTTGGGAGCCTCCTGGGGGCCTCTTGGGTCCATCTTGGAGCCTCTTGCGACTTCCTCAGAAGCGCAAATGAGCGCTTCCCCCTGATTTGACCAAAATGAGCCCAAAACCTTCGTAAAATCAATGATTTTGCTATGAAGGAAGGGAACGCGGCCCCCTCAGAAGGTCAAAATGGGGCCAAAACCCTAGTAAAATCAATTATTTTTGCTTCAAAGACGAGCTGAGGCACCAAACTCCCCCCCCCCCCTCGGGGCCAGAATCCTCGTGAGGGTCGTCGTTTTTTGGCCCTCCCAGACGTCGAAAAAGACACCCCTGACGACCCGCGGAACTCCCTCTCCAGGTCCAGGGGGAGGGGGTAGGGGGAGGGGTGAACCCCTCCCCGAAGGGGAAGAAGGGGGGTTGAGGACAGAGAGAGCTCCCTAAGCCACTCACGCCCAAAGGGCTGGTGGGATTTTTTGGCGCTCCGCGCGGATTTCTGGGATCCGCGCTGGACCCCCCTCGCTGGCGCGCGGAGCGCGCCAGGGGCGGCGCCGGAGGCGCCGCCAGGGGAGGTCCAGCGCGGATCCCAAAAATCCGCACGGAGCGCCAAAAGTTCATGCTTATGGCATTTTTTCTTTTTCTAATATAGATGTCAGGCTGGCGCCCCCTAGGAAGTAACCTCCTTCCAAGAAGCAGTCTCCCCCCTCCCCCCTGCCAGGCC